AGAAGAATTACATTGGAATTTCACGTAAAAATTTAGGACTAAATTGGCAAAATTGAAAAGTTTATGACTGAATTGATATCCATAAAATATGTATAGAACTAATTGGACAATTTCCCAAAGTTAGTGCATTGATTCTTCTTCTATCTTATCCTATAGTGTGGTACTCTCTTCATCATGCTTGCACGTGTGTATAGATGTATGCTAAAGAATGGGAATCATAACAATTAAATGATATGTGTTTTCCAACTAAGTTCATCAATAGCTTCATTGGTCCACAAAAATCCCCATGAATGCGTCGAAAGGGGCCTGATGATGAATTTGGTAGCTATGAAAAGTTTTGTGATATTGCTTGCCGAGAATATAATGCAAGACAAATTTGTCTGGGATGCATACCGGAAGGCAAGCACCAATTGATGTTTACTTTAAGTGTCGCAATGTGAAATTGGCATATAAGATGTTTAAGCAAGAGAAAGTCAGTCATGATATAGTCATCTACACAGCCATGATTTCTGGATATGTGCTTAATGGTATGAAATCAGATGCTATACAAATATTTAGGTTGTTGCTTGATAGAAAAGTAAATCCAAATTCAGTAACTCTGGCCAGCATTTTACCAGCTTGTGCTGGTTTGGCTTTCGTAAGACTTGGGAAGGAATTGCATGGATATACTCAAGAGTGGTCTTGATGGCAGATGTTTTGTTTTAAGTGCGATTATAGATATGTATGCAAAATGTGAGCAAGTCGATGTTGCTCATCTAATCTACAGGAGCTGTCTGAGAAGGTTGTTGTGTTCTGCAACTCAATGGTCACAAACTTCTCCCAAAACGGGAAACCAGAAGTATGACTGTGTTAGCATTTCATCTGGTCTCTCTGCTTGTGCAATCTTACCTTCACTCTATCACCGGAAGGAGATCGATGGCTACATGACAAGATGTTTGTTTTGCCATGATATTTATGTGGAGACTGCACTCATAGACATGTATGCTAAATGTGGTCACCTGGAATTTGCTTGCCGTGTTTGACATGGTGGATGAGAAGAATGAAGTCTCATGGAATAGTATGATTGCTGCTTATTGAAGCCATGGTCTCCCAAGGGAATGTCTCTTGCTGTTTTATGAATAACGGTAGCCAGCCTGATGATGTCACATTTCTGACTATAATATCTGCTTGTGGTCATGCAGGCCAAATTGATAAGGGAATACGGTTTCTCATTGCACGACAGAAAAGTACGGGATTCGAGCAAAGATGAGGATTTTGCCTGCATGGTAGATCTATTAGGACGAGCTGGTCACTTGGATGAAGCTTTTAAAACCATAAAGTGCATGCCATTTTCCCCGGATGCAGGTGTCTGGGGGACATTGCTAGGTGCCTGTCGCTTATATGGCAACGTTGATCTCGCTGAAGTAGCTTCAAGACATCTTCTTGAAATGGAGCCTGATAATTCTGGATACTACGTGTTGTTTTCCAATTTGCATGCTGGTGCAGGCCACTGGGCTGGTGTCCTTCGTGCACGAAGTAAAATGAAAGAAAGAGGAGTAAAAAGGGTAGCCGGACACAGTTGGATTGAGGTTGATAACATGACCCATGTATTTGTTGCAGCTGATGATACTCACCTGCAATTTGCTCATATCTATTCAATGCCGGAAATTCTTCTGTTAGATCTGAGAAAATAGGGTTATGTAACTCAACAGTACATTCCAAGGCACCCACAAACCAGGGGATGTATGCACTCGAAAAGGTTTCATTATGCCAGATTCATTCGACATAAGTTGGAACAGAGAATTATGGAGGCTTGTTTGCTATGACAAATTACCAGTTTGAAGGAAGCGCTTTCACATTAGCCAATGGAAAGGTACTCTCATTCTTTCTCAAAAACAATACGCAGATGGCAAACTCCATTTTTGGATAGGTTACTCTGACACTCCCTTAATTTTATTTAAATTACGTACCCTGTTACTGTGGGAGAGTAACCATTAGATGACAATCTAAGTTGTCTCGAAAGTTATAAGATTTGTAAGATGATTTGGTGTCAACTACAGTTGGTTTGATTAGGTTGTCTCTTTTATTTTATTTTATGAATGTGGGAAGTGGCGTTCTTTTTTATGTTAGAATTCCAGCACTGCGGTTAATTTGAAGGATTTATTTTGGGTACGTGGGCTATATTGTTAGTCCTGACTATATAGTCACCTTGGGAATGCATTATATGAGGCATATAACACGTATATGTCAATGTGGTGCCATCATCTAACGAGGGAGACCTTATTCTACAATAAAATTTGCTTTTGGCAGGATTGTGCAAGTCACCATTCCTGAACATCATCGATTTATTTCTTTTAGGCCACTTTTTAACAGCAATTGTCCAGTTCCTGCAGGAATATGCAATCTGCCGGAAAAGGTTAGCATCTATTGGTTTGGACAGTATCGAGGCCTATCGATACGCCTATGACAACGTCTGCTGGCCAACCCGGATTGAGTGGATACATCTCTGGGACCATTATATTGTTTAAATTCTGTCTTTAAAAGAAAAGCTGTCTAGGGATGAGTATTTGTCTCGGTTCAACCTGGGAATTGGCCGAAATCAGCATGACCAGGCCGGTTCTCGAGTAAAACCCGGTTGAAACTGGCTTTTGAACCAATTCTTATCTTCTGTAAAAGAGAACTCTAAAGTTACTGAGAAGTAGTTTCTAATGTGGGTTTTATGTGCTCCAAAGACTTTGCCAAGAGGACTTAATATAACAAATATTCTGGAAGTAATTTAAACATTGATACATCTAAAAAATTATCTTTATATAGCAAATATAATGTGAACGAGGGCCTGAGAGCTGTGAGTGAGTCATGAGCCTTGAATGGACATGGAGTTGATAAATTTGATGGAATGACGAGCATTAACTTGTTTTTCATGGATATCCTGCAAATGCCATAAGCGATTTATTTTATAGTCTGCCTGCTAGGGAGGGTCCTCTTCCAGCTCTTGTGAATCATCTGACCGATTGAACATGTTGATGTTGGAGTACGCGGCTGTTATGCAGAAGAATGTTGAACTGAGAAAGGAATTTAGGGAATTGATGGAAAAGCTTAAGTTAGCTGAACCGGGGAAAGATCAGGCTCAGGAGCAAGTTCTTGCTCTGGGTAAACAGCAGAAAGCTTATGACCAGAAAAATAAAAAAACAGCAGAAAGCTGGGCCATTTGGTACTATTAAGGATTCAAGAACCACTCCCACTGTTGTCCCTGATGAATCTGTGAAATCCGAGATTAACAAAAAATATTGGAGAAAGTCGCAGTTAATAGAGAGCTCATGGTTGCCCTGGCCAACTCCTTTGTGAGGAAATGTTGGAGGTTTGGTTCACCAACATAAAGTGTGGGTATACCTAATTATTTGGTTGTTGCTCTGGATGAAGATATTGCTGAGTCCTGCAAGTCAAACAGTGTTCCTGTCTACAAATGAAATCCAGATGAAGGCTTTGATTCTGTACGAAGGACAGGAGGAATCATGCTGTTTCAGGATTGAAATTCCGCATTTTGAGAGAATGTTTGCAGTTGGGATATGGTGTTCTTCTCTCTGATGTCGACATAGTCTACTTGCAAAACCCGTTCGACATCTTCATCGGGATTCAGATGTGGAGTCCACGACAGATGGTCATGACAACAGGACTGCTTACGGATTTAATAATGTCTTTGACGAGCCTTGAATGGGTTAGGCTAGATATGCTCATACGATGTGCATCTGGGTTTATAATTCTTGTTTCTTTTGTATCAGACCGACAATCCCCTCAATTGAGCTCCCTGATCATGTAGCTGCCAGGCTTTCTCGATAAAATGCCTGGGACCAGGCGGTTTTCAACGAGGAACTCTTTTTTCGTTCACATAATGGATATGATGGTCTCCATGCTGCCAGGAGGACGATGGACTTTTCTCTTTATGAATAGTAAGGTCCTTTTTAAAACTCTCAGGAAAGATGCCTCATTCAGAATAAACCCGTGATTTTTTGTGTGAACTACCATCCCAACAAGCTTTTGCACGCAAAGGCGGTTGTAGAATACTATGTTAATGGTAAAGAAGATGCTCTAAAACCCTTCCCTGATGGTTCAGATTGGTAAAACGTCCTTCTGGTATTCAAAGATACTTCTTAGCACCTGTTGTCTTCTTCGCTGAAACTTGACTTGTTGGGCATCGACAAAATACCATTTGGATTTGATAACTTTTCCTGTTGGCCTCATTGATTTCAATCCGTCTTTTTTGCTGAGAATATTACGATTTTTCACGGGCTGTATCTTCAAGTAGCTTAGGAACTGTTGTTTATGTAGTTGGGATATGTTGGTTTTTTTCAATCATCTGATTGTATGAATAGCCTCTTAACTCTCTGAGCTATGCGTGAACCTTTCGGGTCAAATCTACTGATCTGGAGTCCTTTGCTTCTGTTTCTGAGTAGTAATTCATCTGGAGTTGAAGTCAACACATCTTCAGTCTAGGACTTTCTGATGCCGATGATAATACTACATAGGACAACATCGTTTGAGATGGAGAGAATTGAAAAGTGAGAAGGTGGGTTAGAATGTCATGAACCCTTATACCTTCAATGCGTCTGTTTAGTTTCGCCGAGCCCAGCTCCTTCTCTGATGGCCTTGTTCTTTATTGCCCTGCTTTAGTCATTGATTCCTCGCTCAAGTGAAGTACAAAATGTGAATGCTTAAGCGTCTTGAGGGAAGTCCTTCCTTTCCCAGCTTTTTATACCCTTGAAGAGCAACATTTCATTTAATTTCACTGATTTCCTGTGTTCGTGGAGATGCCCGCAATGGATGGTTATGAAGCAACAAAAAAGATCAGAAAGGAGGAGAAACAATATCTAATCCACACGCCAATCATAGCATTGACTGCTCATTCTTCAGGTGCCAAAGTGAAGAAGATATTCGAGGCCCGGATGGATTTCCACATTGAAAAGCCTGCGAACGGCGTTCGCCTAATGAAGCCATCAATGAGATTCAAAGTAGAGGAGGAGGTGTATAATCAAGTGCATCTAATGTTTAATATGTGGATCCTGGGCAGCGTATGAATGACCTTGGACAGTGCATGTTTCTATGTACAGTAAACTTAAGAATTGCCATTCACGATATGGCAGAATCTGCTTTGTGAAAGTACAACCAACCCAACAGCATTAGGAATCAACAGTTTCGACGATCTTGTACAGATTGTTGTGTAAGTTGCTGGGTTATCCACAGGAACTTTATAGTCATCAAATGATTCGTTTAAGGACAAATAGGTTAAATTTCTCTCTCCAGTCTTCAATGAAGTTGGAATATACGCTCGTCCAGATACTACATATAATGTTGTAGGCCCAACGTTTATGATACATATATTAGCCTGTAGAACCCCTTGCAAACAATAGAAGCAACGGTCAGGGTGATTTTCAAATTCTATAGCAAGTGATTTGCTCGTTACTAAAGGCAAACGGGAATTTTGCCCGTGATTCACCATATAAACCTCATCTTTGTGTCTGTAAAACCTGGAAGAGAAAGGAAGAACAGAACGTATATCGAAAACCAGAATTACAAATAACCAGAACTATCAGAATGCAAAGATATCCACAGGAACTATATAGTCACTAATCTCTGTTACATTAAAAATAAGTACTCACAGATACTATATATTTATCCTCTGTTGCTCGAAGAGGAAACCAAGTAAAAGCTTGGATACTTCCCCAAGTTGTGGAGAAGGTTCAAGATACACATCGGGAGGTAAATAACTAAAGGGACCAAACCTCTTTTCTGAGTTTTGTTTCACTAAGTCTCACTGGTTTCAATCAAACTAATGTTCCATTCGCTGAGTATTAGCCAACAATTTCGGAGTATTCTAATCTTTTAACAAGAAATTCTTTTGTCAACCAAAGTGCGCTCTACTTAAAAATATTACCGGCAGCCATGCAAAGAGCAGCTACCGAGATGGTGAAAATGGCATAGTGTTTCATCAGATAATGCCTTGCTTCAGTCAATTTCGTGTCCCCGTCTAACTTCACTTCGGACTTCATATCCTCCAAATTTTGACGCGTTTTGGCAAATGTAGAACCTAAATTTTGATTGAGTTCCTCCAATTTATCGAAATCCCTCGAAAAATTATATTCCTGCAATGAATGTCACAAAAATGTAGCCATTGTAGGACATGATATGCTTGATAGCAAGAAAATTTACAACAAGTCCCTTAGACGTAAGCCAATCAAAATTTTGAAACAGACACGATATCCTCACACTAAATTCAGCTCAAATAGAAAGATGAAAAAACTTGCTGCTTTGTTGAGTTCCCAATTTGTATGACGAAAAAATTACGTTGCTAATTGTTATATACACATAGCACAAAATGAAGGCAGAAAGGTAGAACACAGTGCATACCTGCTCAGCCTGGGATTGATTCTTTATCTCTCTAAGCCTTTCTTGAAAGGATTCCTCAATCTACAAAGCACAAATAGAGAAAAAAAGATTACAAGCCATCAGCATCTACCATAAGTGGCTCAATTTCACTATCGCCCCAAGGCTGTCCTGTTGTCATGCAATCAATTCTATCAAAACTGCATGCAGGAAAAACAGACCAAACAGGATTTACCGTCTCAATTTCTTCTCGTTTGACAAAGGTGTCATCCAGATTTTCAAGGGTGTGGTTCCATATTTCGAAAACAACAGAAGCTATCGCCTTCGCTTGATTAGGTGGGAAGGCTCGAGCTTCTAGAATCTTCTCCTGTATCAGAAAACAAAAATAATGTATAGAAAAATACTCATCGGCAAGCATGTTATCCTCTTGATTATAACAAGAAAAATCACGGGTGAAACGTAATATACCAATAAGCACGTGTCTAATCGATGCCCACCAACGCCGTTTGACTTCACCAGCTGAGAAAACTCTTCGTCGGATGATGAGCTCGAAGTTGAATGTGCTCTCAATGCTCGATACCTCGTCAGACAATTCTCCGCTTTGATCCCCACTCGAATCACGCGTGTAAATGCCGACATCCTGCCAGGAAAACAAGAATTCGCAAGATGAAGAAAGTTCAGCAAATTACATTCCAGGTCAAAAAATCAATACGTAAGCATTCCGGAAACCATTCAGCAATAATCAACTCACACTATTTGATAAGAAACTTTACAATTTCAAATAAGCAAAGCCAGCAAACGATCAATCCGGATTTACGCAACAAACACGCTCTAAACAGCACTTTTTACTTTTCAAAGAAATATCGAAACATGCGATGCCTCTTTCATAACTCAAAACATATCCAATTCAAAGAAAAAAAAGAAGAAGTTCAAGACATGAGCATACAACCATAATCCAATCATCACTAGATGCTTCAAAGCGAATTACTATTAGGAACTTATCAAAGACCAGCCTGGTCAGTCTCTCCCCTAGCCCTCTTCAAACGAGAAACAGAAAAATCGAAACGAAATCAATGAATCCAAAGCTGAAATAATAGAGAGACGAGGAGAAGAAGGAAGAAAAGCATCAAACAGTTTTATTTTACTGGCAAAAATTTAACTCCACATGTACCAGAAGTCCTTTCTAGGGGTCATCTAACATACATTAAACAAAAGTTAAAGAGCCCCCTGCATCTACCTCTAAAGGGAGGAGCTCACTCAGAAACACCGAAACTCTGCGCACGAAAAGCTCATTCTCATTTCCGACATATTCAACACAATGTAACTTGAGAATACTCGTTAAAAACACATTACGTATGACGAGAACCGTTAACCCATTGAGAGAGAGAGAGAGTATAAAATAGAATTCCATCCAAAAGATCGACAAACACTGAAGAACAGAAACCAGTAACCAGTAACCCTAGCCCTCTTCAACAGCAACAGAGAAAATCGAAACGAAATCAACCAAACCAAAGTTGAAATAACAGAGAGACGAGGAGGAGGAGGAGGAGGAGGAAGAGGAAGGGAGAATGGATGGACACCTTGCTGGAGAGAAATCGCGGGACAGAGAAGAAGGCTGTGCGAACCAAGCGGCGTGCGTAGTAGTATATCACAGCTTCGATGGAAAAGAGTCGAATGCGTTTGGGAAGACGGGATGCTTCGGGGCCCATATATTTGTTCGGGTCGGGTCAGTCCGGGTCAAGCACGCATGTGTAGTATTTCGGATCGGGTGTCTTTAAAACCCGACCCGACCCGTTGACACCCTATCCCGCCGTTCTTTTCTCAGGTGCGAACAGTCTGAGCCCTCCGATTCCCATACCCATGCCTCTCGTCACTCCATTGTTTGATTAGACTCGATTGGTCGTGTATCTTTTGCGCTTGTCCGATCATGAATATATTAGTTCTTCTTTTTTTTTTTTGGCTCAACAAAAAAGAAAGAAAGGAAACGAAGAAATAGGGCACACTATAGTTTTCAAATTAGAATCTAGTAGTTATCATTGGCGACCTACCACGAAACCCACGCATAATTATCCCCCTTTGCATTAAAAACACATACGTAGTCGCTATGATTAAAAGGCAACAAAATCTCTTTTTCTTTAATGTTGGTTCCCCTTATTTCGTAGAAATATGTATTTTCTTGATCAGAACGAGTGTTGTGCAAATGACACATTGCCGTAACTAAACGTCCAGTCCGCATATAGTATGAAATTTGTCATTAAGTCCACTGTTGGTGTATGAAAAAATTGCATCTAGTGGTGGTTTGCCCTTTATCTACATGTAAGTGGTCTTGAACTGGATTCATACGCGGCCCATCTCATTTTTATCTCTCACGAGAACTTGAATTCATAATAAATTTACTCCGGATATTATATATACATATTTCGAGTTGACATGCTTAGATGATTTCGTTTATTCAAATAATAATTACATAAAATTAAATAAAATAAACTTGTTGATTTTACTCGATTCACGAAATATGATAAAAGGATCACACTTTCCTGGGTCACCTCATAGGCTGCAACTATATAATGATACATTTAACAAGGCCATAGTTTTATAGGCTGAAAGCGCAAAAATCTTGGAACAAACCACAAAGAATTGACATCACCAACTTTCGAAGCTTACTCAAAGCGTGTCACCTCTAGTCCCCTCAATCTTTTGGGCTGTCATATAGCTGGGACAGCACACAATCAAACACAGTTTCTCTCCCAATAATATATGGTAGGACCATAGACAAATTGTGTATTTAAGATTCCTAACAAGAGAGCCGATTTCACATCCATTTGAAAAATCACCGGCTTATGTTAAGCTGCAAGTAGAATGATCGATTTAATGTTTGCTAAATGAACAACCAAAGCAAAACCCTCGCCGTAGTTGATCTCGGGCCACTGGCTACAGCCTTTGGCGACCAATCTTGCTTTCAAACCTCTCAACTTCTATCTTGGGATTCTTCTTCTCCTTAAACACCCACTTCGTTCAGAAAGGCTTGCGCATTGCAATCTTTGCCAAGAATCGCTAAATCCCATTCAAGTATCATATTTCTTGATCACTCTTTTATCTCTTCATCCATGACCTTTCTCACTTTTTCCTCTTGCATGACCTTTTCAAAATAGAGAGAGATTCGAAATACCCTAAAAAATTTGACCCAATTGCATGAGCGTTTTCATATTTTCGATTCAGGAACCGATGATTGTGAGTTCGATTCTTGGACCAGGGAACTCGATTTTTAAGTTAAGTGCCATGGTGGTGAATTACCGTGTCGGTTCCTTCTAAGGGCGCAAATGATAACTATTCTGTTTCTGTATAAAACTAGTTTTCTGTTCCCGGAAACAGGTTTGGAACAGAAACCCGTTTGGTAACGCAATTCCATTTTTTCTAGAACAACTTTTTGTTCCCGAACTGGTTCTGAACAAAAAATCAGAATAAAAAAAAAAGGTTTTTCTATTTATGGACGAGAAATGAAAACCATTTCTAAAAGAACCCGTCTTCTCTCTTCAAAACACATCTCTTCCTAAATTTGGCCCCGGTCTGACCTGGTTAGACCGATTCGAATCGGTTCGGTCCGGTTCATTTCCGACCGGAAAATAAAAAAATTCTAAAAAAATTAGAAAAAATAAAAATAAAAAAATTCAGAAAATTCATAAAAAATTTAGAAAATCCGGAAAATTTCTAAAACTCTAAAAAAAATTCAGAAAATCCATAAAAATTGAAAAATTCCAGAAAAATTCATAAAAATTTCCAGAAAATAAAAAAAGTCAGATTTCGGGAAAATAAGAAATTTGGTGAATTTTTTCAAAAAAAAATCAAAAAATCAAAATTTTCAAAACTTAATAGGATGGTTTAGAATACCCGTAGCCACCCACTTTGAGTGAAATTTAAATTTTTTGAGGTGCCCATATGGTATTTTTGAAGACTCCTTAATTTAGGGATTTAAAAGGGGTTTTAACCCCTAAAGGCGCGAATGATAACCATTCTGTTTATATCAAGAACTAGTTTTCTGTTCCCGAAAATAGATTTGGAACAGAAACCCGTTTGATAACGCAATTCCATTTTCTATTTCTGGATCAACTTTTTGTTCAAGAACTGGTTCTTGACCAAAAATCAACAAAAAAAAAAAAAGATTTTCTATTTCTGGACGGGAAATGAAAGCCATTTCTAAAAGAACCTGTTTTCTCTCTTCAAAACACATATATTCCTAAATTTGGCCCCGGTCTAACCTGGTTAGACTGATTTGAACTAGTTCGGTCCGGTTCATTCCCAGCAGGAAAATAAAAGAAATTCTAAAAAAAATTAGAAAAATAAAAAAAAATCAAAAAAATCATAGAATTCATAAAAAATTTAGAAAATCCGGAAAATTTCTAAAAATCTCAAAAAAAATTTCAGAAAATCCATAAAAATTGAAAAATTCCAGAAAAATTCATAAAAAATTTCAGAAAATAAAAAAAGTTAGATTTTTGGAAAATAGGAAATTTGGTGAATTTTTTTAAAAAAAATCAAAAAATAAAAAATTTCACAGGATGGCTTAGAATACCTGTGATCACCCACTTTGAGTGAAATTTAAATTTTTTAAGGTGCCCAAATGGTATTTTTGAAGACTCCTTAGTTTAGGGATTTAAAAGGGGTTTTAACCCCTAAAAAACCCTAATAAGGGTTTAAGCCCCAAAAAGGGTTCCAAAAAAATGGATTTTTGTTTCGGGAAATATAAATTTGTGTTGTTATCAAACGGGTTTCTGTTCCAGAAAATAGAAATTTTATGCTGTTATCAAACGGGTTTCTGTTCTAGAAATAGTAATTTTTTGTTGTTATCAAACATGTTTCTTTTCTCAGAAAACTTGTCCTGGGAACAGAAATAGAAAATTCTATTTCTGTTCCAGGAATTGTTTCTGAAACATAATGGTTATCATTCACGCCCTAAAAAACCTTAAAAGGGGTTTAACCCCTAAAAGGGGTTCTAAAAAAATGGATTTTTGTTCAGAGAAATAGAAATTTGTGTTGTTATCAAACGAGTTTCTGTTCCAGAAAATAGAAATTTTATGCTGTTATTAAACGGGTTTCTGTTTTAGAAATAGAAATTTTTGGTCGTTATCAAACGGGTTTCTTTTCTCAGAAACTTGTCCTGGTTCTAGGAATTGTTTCTGGAACAGAAATGTTATCATTCTCACCCTAAATAGCTGTTTAATTATGGTCATGCCTTTGAGTTATAAAGGGAAAAAAAAAGAGAGATTCAAAATTAGTAAAGAAACAACAAAGTGTTTAATCATCACTTGTCTCTTCGGTTGCTTCATAAATGTTATAAAGATTTTCTTCATCGTGGAGAATTCAATTGGAGAGGGTGGTGTCGTGGCACAATATCCATGAATTTTCTGAAGAACATCCATTGTTAACGATCTAAAGAATCATCAAGTGAGTTTCGGACCGTCATACACTGAGGATTCGTATGTTGAACATAAATTATCACCTTGGTTTGGACTTGGAGGACTTTAATCAGAAGTATACGTTATGTATTGCATTTAAACTTCAGCTTTTCATCCCTTCTAGTTACATCTTTAGCTTGCATATTATGTTCATATTACTATTCTATATCATACATTTACGGGAAAATTGTCCAAAAAGCTCTAAACTTATTGTACGGATATCAATTCAGTCCAAAATTTTCAACCATGCCAATTTAATCCTAAACTTGTTGATGATTTGTCAATGTAATCCTTCTGACCAAATATCCAAATAATAAGTTTATGACTAAATTGGCAAATATTCAAAAGGTTTAGGACTAAATTGACACAAAAAATGTTTAGGACTAAATTAGCAAATCGTCAAAAGGTTTATGATTGATTAGCACAAAATTGATTGCCGGACAAGAGGTTTAGCACTTTTTGGACAATTATCCCATCCATTTACCTTAGTAGTTATTACCTAGGGTGCGTTTGGCAACTTACCAAATAGTAACTGATTTTGTTCTTTTGTTCCCAGAATCAGTTTGGGAACAGAAATCCGTTTGTTAAATTTTTTGTGCCCGGGCACAATTTTGCAAATAATTGTGCCCATAATAAGTTTTGGAACAGAATCAAAAAGCAAAAAAAAGTAGCTTCTCGATTCTGGAACAATTTTTCCGGAACTAATTCTTCTTGATTTTTTTCTTTTTTTTGGTTTGTTGTTGTTCTTCGGCCCCGCCACCCGCTAGCCACCGGCCATAGGCCAGGGCCGGCGAGGGCGGCTCGCGGCCATGACGGCGAGGCCTCGCCCAGCCAAGGTGAGGCCAACCTTGCCGTCGCCACCCAGGTCCGTTGCCAACCGTCGCCACCCAGGTCCGTTGCCAACCGTCGCCACCCAGGTCCATTGCCTGGATGGCAACGGACCTGGGTGGCGACGGCGAGGTTGGCCTCGCTCAGCCAAGGCGAGGCCAACCTCGCCGTCGCGACCGGCGAGGGCCGCGACGCCCTCATCGGCCCTGGCCTGTGGCCGGTCGCCAGGGCCGGCGGCCGGCCATGGCCAAGAAAGGAAGGGGAAAGAAAGAAAAAAAAAGGAAAAAAAAAGAAAAAAAGAAAGAAATATTAAAAAATTCAAAATATTATTAATAAAAAGAAATTTTGTATAGTTACCAAATACATTTATGTTCTTTTTCTATTCTAAGAACAGAAATTTTGGGTAGTTACCAAATGCCTTTAAATGCTTAGAAATTGTTTCCAGGCACGGAATAAAAAAAAATCATTTCTATCCAGAATCAGATTCTGGGCACAGAATGGTTGCCATGCGCACCCCCAGTCATCTTATTTGTATTCATCCATTCGAAATCAATGGTCAATGTGTTTCCATCGCAGGAAAGAGGACCGTTCCTCTCATTCATTAATTATTGCACCTATACTAAGCCGGTCAGGAGCCAAGTAAGGTGTAAGAGGTCGCCTTACTTTTGCAAACCACATAATTGAGTTTGGAGACTTGATTACACTCAATGAAAGCCCATTACCCGTCAATCAGTGCCTCTTTTCTTTGAAGAAAGCTATTCATGCGACATCTTGTTGACTTTATTTCCTAACATGCATGTCTAAATGTCCATGCATTTATGGCAATAAATCAAAAACTTAAAATCCAAATCTACCATAAAGATAAACTTATCCAAGCGATTACATATCTCTCTTTGCAAGCAAAATATCCTCGCTAGCATTTTAATGTAAGTAGATAGCAAAGAATCATCCTATTTTTTAAGTTGATTATTTGTTGTGCTAAGCCCAACGCCATAATCAAATCTTTTTTAAATGTGAAAGCTGCTTGGACCACATGTCCTAACTTTGGGTGTATTAATGTGGGCCCTATATGAATAAGAAATTCATGAAAGCTTCTATGGCCCAGCTTTTTACATACAGAAGCTAGGATGAGTCCCACAGCGACCAGAAACACACATACACCTCAGTTTATATCCCCAGATGAGGCAAGACAGGTTGTACTTCTGAAGGCATCCAATAAAATTGAGACGATATAGAGAAGATTAGCATGGCTCATGCGCAAGGATGACACGCACAAATCAAGAAATGATTGAAGTCTTTTTTTCATACTTTCTTGGTGTATTTTTTTTAAGTATATGTAATCAATCATATAGATTATTCTTTTTTATTATGCTTCAATGAATATCAAAGATTATTCAATATCACGGAATCGGACTTAATTGTTCTCGTTTTATTTTTGTTTGTGTATCCGTTGTTTCCCTTGCATGATCGCGATACATGCCACCAAAATTTTTTAGAAAATTTTATTATGGTTTAATTATTTTATTGTTTTACTTATTTATGGGTCTTAATATTTGAGGAGGTTATAACATATGACTTGTTTAGCTGAGGAGAAACGAGGGATTGAGTCGACCTTCTAAAGAAACTTCGATTCTACTCACTAGAGATCCAGGGTTGGCGTTTATTTTCCTGTCATATCTTTATAGATTAACATGTTCGAAAAGGTGATTTTAATAAAAATCCTTTTTTAAAATCTTTATACTTCGTTTCAATAATTTTCCGATCTCTAATCCAATTAGATTAGTTCACGTGCTTTGTTGTAGCAGTTAGCACGAAAAAATAAGTGGAGGATGATATTTGCTTATTTCGTTTGTGTTAGGGTTTGAGGATGGTTTTAGTTAGGGTATGCTTGAGATGACTTGCTTATTAGAAGAGACGTGACTATATCTTCAATGGGGGCTAGTGTTGACCCACCTGACGAAATTGTGGTTCGTTTCTGAAGAAAGTTATTAGATGCTAATCGAACTGGGATGTCTGTTCGTCTTCTGTGTCTATAAGGTGACTTTGAAACTCTTTAGTCTAGTCACAAACGCCATACTGATGAAGGTGAAAATAGCCCATTCGGTGCTCTTTAGAAGCCCATTCAGCATTGAAGACACATCTTGTCTCTTCATGAACAAGTCCATTTCATTGAAGTGTGTTTAAGTTCCTTCAATGGGATCAACACTTCCATATCTTAAAGGATCACGCTGATAAACTTCGAAACATCTGATTCTCGGCTCAATGGATCGAGTTTACTGTCAGATCACATATTTGGAAGATTGATGTTGCTTTGTAGCAAGACCAAGTGCGTATCGATGGGAGAGAATTTTGCTGGATGTTCCCAAAATCAGGATCTTGTGAGATGTTATGATCTTTAGTGCCTAGGTGGTACATGGTTACAACGATCTAATTAGACATTGCTTTGCCCACCACCATGTTTAAACAATATCTTGCTCAAGTGTAGACTGAAGCTGGGGTTGCACATGAGCCTTTCCTTTGTGTGCAAGATATGCCGTCAAGCCATTGCATCGGCAGCATCCAATTAAGCAAGGTTTAGATTACATCCAATAATACAGTGAGCAGGAGAAGAAAGAGGAATCATAAACTCTATCTCACCCGATTGACTCTAGAAGTAGGCAACTTCCATTTCGACGGATGCAGGATGTTAGGAGGCTTCTCCCCCTTCTCTTCTGTGGCTTGTGATTCGCCCAAAGTCCCATGGAGGGCGCTCTCTGCTTGAAGGATACTGCTCCTTTGACCGACCACGATTTGGACTGGATTGCCGAGTTGAGATTATGACGGATGTCGGGATGTTTCATGCCTACAACATTGCAGACACTGTCACATTGCAATGTCTGCAATGTCAAGTTAAGGTTCTGCCGGTTCGCCCAGTTACGGACATAGCAGACACACTATGCTACAGGCATTACTAAAACAAGCGCAAAGCACAAGGACTGAACCATATTTAATTTGATATATCCTCAGTCTAATATAAGATATTCATGGCTTAAAGGGGATGAAAAGAAGGTACTATGACATACTGAGGTAATAAAGACGAGCATCCAGGAAACATATGATTGATTCTGTGCTTTTGCAAAAGGGTCTTCATTTATCAATGTTTGAGCTTAAAACCCTGTGATTTATATATACTTTCTTTATAATCCTTGGAGGAGATGAGACATTGATTAGCATATTGTAGGCAAATATACTGTCATCTATCCGTGCTTATTGTGTTGGAGATATGTTGTAATTCGGGTTGATAACGGATGAGCGATAAAAAGCAAAGGTAAATACAACTGGGGAAGATGCCTTCTTGACAAGAAAGAAGGTTTTTTTTTACTCTATTAGAAAGCTCATTGTTCTCCACAATAAGCATATGAAAACTAAGCAGCATATGTCTTCGCAAGTGTCTCTGGTACTTGGATCGCCTTGTTGACATATCTTCAATCACGTATTAGAGATACATGGATCAAGTCCTTTGAAGCATCTTGACATTTTTAGAACTATCTTGGTTGAGGAGTTACATATATCTACGCAATTATCAGCCTTCTCATCTTGTATTCCTTTCAGCAGGCTAAGAACAAATTGCCTGTTCAAGATATAGAAGAACCCAACATTATGATGAGACAGTAGCAAAAGGCAGCAACAAATAATTCCTCGTTGAACTGAGATGCAAATTGACTGTATCTTAATCAACAGAGGTTCAACAGAGTGCAATATCTGATTATCCCAAACTCAATGTCTATACCTTGGCCCACAAAGCCAAGGAGGACATAGAAATCAAGTTCTTAGCTGTCGCTATTGTTAACCATCGAATCGGAACACTCATAAACACCAATCGCTAACAACTAATGTTTTTTCTACCCAGTATAGCTCAGGTGGTCAAGAATAAAAATCTAATCTCCTAATTGGGAGCTGAACAATTCAATGACGGTGAAAACAAGAAGTACTGTAAATGGAACCACAAAAACGTGTGCATAGTAATCTAAATATGCCTCTGGGACCTCATTGCTGAGCAAAGATTTGCTGTTACCTGTACAAGAACAGAACTAAGAATGAAGAAGAAAACGAAAATGATTACCTGGCCTCCTGAAGCATAATACAGACGAACGGCTTTAGGTGATATTCGTGCATGACCCTTGCCCACGTGTTGCTATAAAACACGGGGAATGATCAGGGCACTTATGCACAGCGCGTTCTTTCATTTTCAAGTAATGATTGACGAGTTCTTCAATAGCGGGCTTCGACTTCGAACCCCGTTGTTGAAGACTCCACAGCTTCATTGTATGGTCTTCCATCTCATGTTCTCTGTGCCAGAAACACAGCAGAGATGAAGTTTCTGAACTTTTGGTAAGAGAGCTTTGGTATCCACGCCTACGAGAGAAGAGGTGGGAATTTATACTCCACTCACATTGAGTTGAAGTCATGCCTGTTTTGTCTGGCCTTTTGGTGGATTCCACCTTCTTCTTTTTTCTTCCCTTCAACTTGATTCACAAGTCTCATAACTTCCTCCGGAAGTTGAGTTGATTGAGACCCCATTGCTGGTCCTACCAGGATGCTTCCTACTCAATGTATTCACTTACTTTATTGCGAGTTGGTGGGCTTGTTACATGTATGATTGGATACAATAACTTTTTGTGAGTCTCTCCTTTAAGCAAATTAACAGAATAACAATTATAATTCACGCATTTCCTTTTACTCCTTAACAGTTAACACTCGAACTGATTAGTCACCTACTCGGCCGACCGTGCTAGCTTTTAAGAGCTTATTACCCGGTCTGAGGGTCAATTAATAGACACCTTCGTTGTGTACACCTCTGTCGTATGTGATGCTGATTTTGGTAACTCGACATCCATCTTTGTATGAGAAGAGGATTTATAGGCTAGAGTTTGAATAATTACTCATCCTTCGGCTACTCTGTAACAGCCTGGCCAAAACCATTCAATTCCGAGTTCTTGAGTCTTCCATGCTTTTTCATCACACAGACAATTCTGCTATAGACAGAGAAGTAAAGAGTAGAGAATGGGACTAGCGAAATAAGCAGAGGAAACAGAGTTTACTCATCGCTTGGCTTTGCTTGAGAGTGTTGACTCCAAACACTTCCAAGTGGGTCAGTTCATAAATCCAAAGAACAAGTAATATTCTTTCGCCTTGTTTAAGAAGGCAAACTCCTGCAAGCTCAAGACACACGACTGTTCCAACAGCTTCTTCGAAGTCCATTGCGCATATTAACGTTGTTAATAGGACCCATCTGGTTGAAAATTTTGAAAGCTTATAAAACAAGCTTCCAGTTTCTTCATGAAGACAGACTCCAGAATTTTATGTATGTAAGCAGAAGGCCATGATATGAAGTTGCTCGAGTGTTTCCTGAGTGAAGAAGATTCTAGGATCTTATGCTAATGCATACTTTGAGCAATGATATCAATGCATGTAAGTGTATACACTTACCTGTCGTCCCTGTAGCCAACATTATTAACTTTTCCAACATGTTGATAAATGGATATTTCAAGTTTGCGAAGCTAATCGACTTAGATAAAAGCTTCCCGTGTCAAGTCGAACCAGTACATATGACATAGTCCGACATGGATCACCACAAAATGCCCGAACCGTTGCAATGGAAGATCAATATCGCAATCAACTGAAGTTTCATACCAGCAATTTAGTCCAACTATTTCATTGGCACAAGTCCATCACAGAATATGCAGTACAATACTTATCAAAACATATACAAGCGCGGGCGCTCACTCACACTCAATACAATACATGAAAACTCTGCCACATTGTTGAAGAGCTCGAGAGGAGTCTTCACTAATTTTCTAAAACAGTATCCTGCGAAGCCACATCGTTGAAGAGCTAATAGTGGTAATTCTTCACGTTCCAAGGCTCACCAGAAACCATTGCCCTATACGAAACGTAGTGATCATCAGTTTAATTAGGAATTAGTGAATGGTTAGTTTGTGTTTCACGAATTGATAAAACCATCAGTATGCACCACAAGCGACTATGTGCACCCTACCTGGCCATCGCCGAATACATAGTGCTGCGGATTGAAAGAGGTATTCGAGTTGTAGTCCGGTAGGTTGTTGTCGAGCGTCTGAAATGGAGGGAGTGATTCCATAGTTGCTTGAAGCGATGACTGATGTCGGACAAAAAATTTCGTGTTAAAAGACTCAAATTACTCCGAAATATTCGGCTAATGCTCAGTGCATGGAACATTAATTTGACCAAAACCAGTGAGACTTAGGGAAGCAAAACCCAGAAATGAGGTTTGGTCTCTTGAGTTATTTACCTCCTGATCTGTGTTCTCTGTTGACCCATGTTGAGAAGCAACTGGAGTGTTATCAGTTACACTTGAACCTTCTCCAAAACTTGGGGAAGTATCCAATCTTTCGCTTGGTTTCCTCTTCAAGCGACAGAGGATGTATGGTATCTGCAAATATATATTTATTTTTATTGTAACAAAGATTAGTCAGTATATTCTGAAAGTTTCACTTTGAATACACTACGAAATGTAAGTGAAAAAGAGAACCCGTAAAAGTATATGTCACAAGGTCAAAACAAAAAAAAAATGATAATAATTAATTGGCTCGCTCTTTTCTTTTTGTAATCCAGGGACGCGAGTATAAAGTCATCCCAAGCCTATGGAGTACTATGTATCCCATGCACCGATTAAGTACAGGCCTTTGGATCTATGCAAGTTGCCTTAACTCAAAGCAATCTAGCACTAAATTGGCGAGATTTGAACAAGTGACTCCAGTCCTGAACAGAAAATTCACTAACGCCCCAACTGGACCAACCCAGTTAATTGGCTCATCCTATTGAAAGCCATTGGTATTACATTACAGTTCAAAAGAACCATCATCCTACTTTTTTAAGCTTGGCCTAATGCACTATTAATTCACTCCACACAAATTTATTTTGCACATGAAAAATACAAGAGAAATCTTAAGAACCATCATCCTACTTTCTTAAGCCTGGCCTAATGCACTATCAATTCACTCCACACAAATTTATTTTGCACATGAAAAATAAAAGAGAAATCTTAGATATATAGATCAAATGGAGAACCTGGAAGGTTGAGGAGTATCCATCGAGAAGTTCAGGATTTAGGTGATATTCGTGCATGACCCAATCGGTCTTGACACAACCTTTGTAAAATACCAAAATCCTCTTGGTGCCTATTAAAACCTTGGTGTCTCGAGCTTTTATGTGATCCCTTTGGCAAGTGATCTTCCATTGACCACTCCTTGTCTTCCTTTTGATGCGCTCGCTATTCTGGGCTACGTAAGGAGAAGGGCAGAAGAAGAACCAGTCTAACCCATCCGATGGAAAATTCAATATTCCTGCACTCATACATGGCAAAAGACTTAGGACAACTTATCAAAACATTATAAAATGCAAATAGTGTATGAACAACTTTTCTATATATAATTACTGCCCAATAAATACTACAGCACATGCCTAAGTTAAAGGGAAAAGAGTAGGCGCATGAAACTCACCTGGATATAGTCCAGGTAAATCCCATGGATCCCATGCATAGAAATCCTCAAGCTCGGGGATGACACAATGATCGGTGTAGCCAAGTACCTTGCTCATAAGGTGATGATTGATAAGTTCTTCCTCAGTCGGAAGGAATCTAAATCCCACCTGAAATTGCTCCATATTAACTAGGACAAGTGATATAGTTTTGAACTTGAGTGTTTGAGGAACTCTGAGTCCGTGCATTAATTGGAGATGACAATTTATAATAGGACAGAAAGTTGACTCGAGTCTCCCCTTGTGCCAGAAGCCTTCTTTTTCCCTAAGCCCTTGTTTCAGAAGGGAAGCTTGATACTATTCTCTATCTTCTACGAGGAGGATTCCACCTTGGAGAAGCTACTGGTGAAATTCTCATTCTATCCTCCCCGGGAAAGTGAGACAAATTCCTGAGACCATTTCGTTTGCTAATGCCCATAAAGCTCTATATTTGGAGAAATTGACCCAAAGCATGACAACCAAATGACCCTTGGTATCCCGAATTGAGTACCGAGCCTATCTAATCTAAAAGTCCTCGTTCAAGTGCGGTCCGTTTTCTAAAAAATATTGATTTTTCTTCATTAAAGATCGGGCATGGTTGGCTTGTGGATTAACTATCCCAACTAGACATGGCCACGGTTCAGGAACCGGCGGTTCCGGTTCGTGGCTATGTATGAACCGGAACCGGAACCACAAGGGGGCGGTTCCGGTTCGAGGGGGGAGGAGGAGAAAAGGGGAGGAGGCGCAGGATAGCGAGGGGAGAGGAGGAGGGGGCGTCGGCGTCGGCGGTTGCGGCCATGGGCGGGGGCGACGGCGGCGACGGCGGCGGGGGTCAGATCTGGGAAGACGGGGGGCGGGCGGAGGAGAAAAGGGGAGGACTGGAGGAGGCGCAGGGGAGAGGGGGGAAGGAGGGATTTGGAGGAGGAGGACCGGAGGAGGTGGGCGTGGGTGGGGGTGGGAGTCACTGTGGACTCCCTTGACCTTCGCGCCCTCCGCCGAGGCAGCACGCAACTCCTTCGCTCAAGCCATTCTCTTCTCCGTCGTACCCAAGGAGCTCTCCTCCCAAACTCTGAGCTCTACTTGAACGTGGAGCAAATGGGCACAGCGCAAAAAGATTGATGGGTCTCTCTCTCCCCCTCTCTGGGTCTCTCTCTCTCTTCCTCTATCTGCGTTAATTGAACCTTATCGGGCTTTCTAGAAACTGGGGTCGTGACTAAAGTGCGTTGGAAAGGTGGAAAAAAAGGCAAAGGAGAGATTTTTTTTTTTTGGAACCAGGCCCGGAACCGCCGGTTCCAGGCCGGTTCCAAAATTATTGGAATCGGAACCGGGCCCGTAGGCCACGGGCCGGTTCCGGTTCCGAACCGCGGGCCCGATCAATGGGCCGATTCCGGGCCAAAATCGGCCCGTGGCCATGTCTAGTCCCAACCCATCCAAAGCGTGCTTCCAAGCTTGGATGAGGTCAGCTTGCCACTAGGCTCATGATCAGGTTTAATCAAAGCCACGTATATAGTGGTTGATCTAGTGGTGGGCCTCACTTCCTTGGATCCAAAAAATTATTTTTTGGATAACATTTTTTTCAAAAAGAACTATGCATGGTATTTAACTGAAATTCATTGTCTCGCCCCCTCTAATCTCAATTTCTTGGTCCGTATGAATAATCTTAAAACAAGGTGGTCCTCATAATGACTCGAACTCAAGACCATGTAACTTAACTTACTGAGTTACATGGAAGTAAACTATAACTTTTAGTTAAGTTTTCGGTATGTTCTACTGCTTTTCACACCTTCGCGAAAATAACATGTTTGATGAGCAAATTTTAGAGAATAATCAAGAACAATTTACTATACTTCTGTCCAGTAATCTCCTCTCGTCGCCCACATCAGTCTCATAAGACCAGTCAAAGCGAAACAAAAGTACAATTCTGTCTAATTGTTTGAGCGACCATTACATGACTGTGTTTGCTAGAATGGTTTGCATAGAACTAATCATCAATCTCGCGAGCTAAACTCTCTGTGTGCTTATGTTTTCGAGTGGGATGCATGATATTTTTAAAGGTTACGACAAAAGAAGGTCCAGATTTATTTGGAAAGCGACTTTCGTCTTTTACTTATTATTCTTTTAAAAGTTTGGTGTCACTTTACAATTTTGACTTTTTACTTGATTCTGGGTATGGGAGTCTGCTTGATATGGTCCCTCCTTAGCTGAGTCGAAATTTTGGTGTTTGATTGTATTGTAAACAGTCGAATTAAATAGCTATTCAGTATAGTTTCCAATCGATATCTGCTTTCTTTTTGTCAATGGACTCTCTCTGCGCGTGCTCAGCCATGTGTACGTGCGAGCATGCACATCTCAGTCGTGTCTTCTAAAACCAATGTCGAATGTCTCTTGTGGGATAAATATAGGGTTTTATGAAAGCTTCCGTCACAATGATAGCATTATATAATGTAGAGGAATCCTGGAATGCTGAAGAGGGGATGAGCCAGTTGCTGTTTCTCATAAATAATTGATCAAAAGAAAGGAAATCAAACAAAGAATTTGATGAAAGACATGCTTGAGTCTACGTGATGATCAGGTGCTGTTGGATAACCAACATATATATATATTTTGGATAACCAAGGTGTTTCGCGGCTAGCGAGCTAAGGCTCAAATCAGTGATGATGCCCGACTAGTCCGGGCTAGTGCAGCTTCCCACCGCCACGACCCCCACTTAAATCACCAATGGGCGAATTTGAACCCAAGAACTCTCGTGAAAGGAACTGAGCGCAAACCAACGCGGGCACAAATGAGTCATTTCTGACATATTTAACACAATGTAACTTGAGAACACTCGTTAAAAACACATTACGTATGACGAGAACCGTTAACCCATTGAGAGGGGGAGAGTATAAAATAGAATTCCATCCAAAAGATAGACAAACACCGAAGAACATAAACCAGTAACCCTAGCCCTCTTCAACAGCAACAGAGAAAGTCGAAACGAAATCAACCAAACCAAGGCTGAAATAACAGAGGGACGAGGAGGAGAAGGAAGGGAGAATAGATGCAAACCTTGCTGGAGAGAAATCGCGGGACAGAGAAGAAGGCTGTGCGAACCAAGCGGCGTGCGTAGTGGAGTAGCATATCACAGCTTCTATGGAAAAGAGTCGAATTCGCTTGGGAAGACGGGGATGCTTCGGGGCCCATATATTTGTTCGGGTCGGGTCGGGTCAGTCCCGGTCAAGCACGCATGTGCAGTATTTCGGGTCGGGTATATTTAAAACCCGACCCGACCCGTTGACCCCCTATCCCGCCGTTCTTTTCTCAGGTGCGAACATTCTGAGCCCTCCGATTCCCATACCCATTCCTCTCGTCACTCTATTGTTTGATTAGACTAGATTGGTCGTGTATCTTTCGCGCTTGTCTGATCATGAATAATATTAGTTCTTCTTTTTTTTTTTTTTGCTCAACAGAAAAGAAAGAAAGGAAACGAAGAACTAGCGCACACTGTAGTTTTCAAATTAGAATCTAGTAGTTATCATTGGCGACCTACCACGAAACCACGCATAATTATCCCCCTTTGCATTAAAAACACATGCGTTGTCGCTATGATTAAAAGGCAACAAAATCTCTTTTTCTTTAATTTTGGTTCCCCTTATTTCGTAGAAATATGTATTTTCTTAATCGGACCAAGTTCTGTGCAAATGACACGTTGCCGTAACTAAACGTCCAGTCCGCATATAGTATAGAAATTATCATTATGTCCACCGTTGGTGTGTGAAATAATTACATCCAGCGGTGGTTTGCCCTTTATCTACGTGTAAGTGCTCTTGAACTGGATTCATACGCGGCCCATCTCATTTTTATCTCTTACAAGAACTCGAATTCATAATAAATTTACTCCGATTTCAAGTTGACATGCTTAGATGATTTCGTTTATTCAAATAATAATTACATAAAATTAAATAAAATAAACTTGTTGATTTTACTCGATTCACGAAATATGATAAAAGGATCACACTTTCCCGGGTCACCTCATAGGCTGCAACTATATAATGATACATTTAACAAGGCCATAGTTTTATAGGCTGAAAGCGCAAAAATCTTGGAACAAACCACAAAGAATTGACCTCACCAACTTACGAAGCTTACTCAAAGCGTGTCACCTCTAGTCCCCTCAATCTTTTGGGCTGTCATATAGCTGGGACAACACACAATCAAACACGGTTTCTCTGCCAATAATCTATGGTAGGACCATAGACAAATTGCGTATTTAAGATTCCTAACAAGAAAGCCGATTTCACATCCATTTGAAAAATCACCGGCTTATGTTAAGCTGCAAGTAGAATGATCGATTTAATGTCTGCTAAATGAACAACCAAAGCAAAACCCTCACCGTAGTTGATCTCGGGCCATTGGCTACAGCCTTTGGCGACTAATCTTCCTTTCAAACCTCTCAACTTCTATCTTGGGATTCTTCTTCTACTTAAACACCCACTTTGTACAGAAAGGCTTGCGCATTGCGATCCTTGCCAAGAGTTGCAAAATGCCAATCAAGTATCATTTTTCTTGATCACTCTTTTATCTCTTCATCAATGACCTTTCTCACTTTTTCCTCTTGCATGACCTTTTCAAAATAGAGAGAGATTCGAAATACCCTAAAAAATTTGACCCAGTTGCATGAGCGTTTTCATATTTTCGATTCAGGAACCAATGATTGTGAGTTCGATTCTTGGACCAGGGAACTAGATTTTTAAGTTAAGGGCCATGATAGTGAATTACCGTGTCGGTTCCCTCTAAATAGCTGGTTAATTATGGTTATGCCTTTGAGATATAAAGGGAAAAAAGAGAGAGATTCAAAATTAGTAAAGAAACAACAAAGTGTTTAATCATCGCTTGTCTCTTCGGTTGCTTCATAAATGTTATAAAGATTTTCTTCATCGTGGAGAATTCAATTGGAGAGGGTGGTGTCGTGGCACAATATCCATGAATTTTCTGAAGAACATCCATTGTTAACGATCTAAAGAATCATCAAGTGAGTTTCGGACCGTCATACACTGAGGATTCGTATGTTGAACATAAATTATCACCTTGGTTTGGACTTGGAGGACTTTAATCAGAATTATACGTTATGTGTTGCATTTAAACTTCAGCTTTTCAACCCTTCTAGTTATATCTTTAGCTCGCATATTATATTCATATTACTATTCTATATCATACATTTACGGGAAAATTGTTCAAAAAGCCATAAATTTATTGTACGTATATCAATTCAGTCCAAAATTTTCAACAATGCTAATTTGATCCTAAACTTGTTGATGATTTGTCAATGCAGTCCTTATGGCCAAATATCCAAATAATAGGTTTATAACAAAATTGGTAAATCTTCAAAAGGTTTAGGACTAAATTGACACAAAAAATGTTTAGGACTAAATTAACAAATCGTCAAAAGATTTATAATTAATTAGCACAATTGAAATATTTATAACTGAATTGACTGCCGGACAAAAGGTTTAGCACTTTTTGGACAATTATCCCACCCATTTACCTTAGTAGTTATTACCTAGTCACCTTATTTGTATTCATCCATTTGAAATCAATGGTCAATGTGTTTCCATCACAGGTAAGATGACCGTTCCTCTCATTCATTAATTATTACACCTCTACTAAGTCGGTCGGGAGCCAAGTAAGGCGTAAGAGGTTGCCTTACTTTTGCAAACCACATAATTGAGTTTGGAGACTTGATTACACTCGATAAAAGCCGATTACCCATCAATCAGTGCCTCTTTTCTTTGAAGAAAGCTATTCATGCGACATCTTGTTGACTTTATTTCCTAACATGCATGTCTAAGTGTCCACGCATTTATGGCAATAAATCAAAAACTTAAAATCCAAATCTACCAAAAAGATAAACTTATCCAAGCGATTACATATCTCTCTTTGCAAGCAAAATATCCTCGCTAGCCTTTTAATTTAAGTAGATAGCAAAGAATCATCCTATTTTTTAAGTTGATTATTTGTTGTGCTAAGCCCAACGCCGTAGTCAAATCTTTTTTAAATGTGAAAGCTGCTTGGACCACATGTCCTAACTTTGGGTGTATTAATGTGGGCCCTATATGAATAAAAAATTCATGAAAGCTTCTATGGCCCAGCTTTCTACATGCAGAAGCTAGGATGAGTCCCACGTCGACCAAGAACATGCATACACCTCAGTTTATATCCCCAAGCGAGGCGAGAGAGAGGCCATTTCTTCGTAGACATCCGATAAAATTGGAACGATATAAAGAAGATTCACGTTGCCCTACGCAAGGATGACACACACAAATTGAGAAATGGTCTAAATTTTTTTTTATACTTTCCCGGTGTATTTTTTGTAAAATTTCATATGTTTAGAGTTATTCTGAATTTCACAAAATTTACCTCTTTGCCACCCCTTTCACCTTATGTATAAGTAATCAGTTATATAGATTATTCTTTTTTATTATGCTTCAATGAATATCAAAGATTATTCAATATCACGGAATTGGATTTAATCGTTCTTGTTTTATTTTTGTTTGTGTATCCATTGTTTCCCTTGCATGATCGTGATACATGCCACCAAAATTTAGAAGATATTATCATGGTTTAATAATTTTGTTGTTTTACTTATTTATAGGTCTTAATATTTGAGGCGGTTATAAAATATGACTTGTTTAGCTGAAGAGAAACGTGGGATTATTGGAGTTGACCTTCTAAAGAAACTTCGATTCTACTCCCTGGAGATCTAGAATTGGCGTTTATTTTCCTGTCATATCTTTATAGATTAACATGTTTGAAAAGGTGATTTTAATGAAAATCCTTTTTCTTTAAATCTTTATACTTCGTTTCAATAATTTTCTGATCTAATCCAATTAGATTAGTTCACCTGCTTTGTTGTAGCAGTTAGCACGAAAAAATAAGTGGAGGATGATATTTGCTTATTTCGTTTGTGTTAGGGTTTAAGGATGGTTTTAGTTAGGGTATGCTTGAGATGACTTGCTTATTAGAAGAGACGTGACTATATCTTCAAAGGGGGCTAGTGTTGACCCACATGACGAAATTGTGGTTCGTTTTTGAAGAAAGTTATTAGATGCTAATCGAACTGAGATGTCTGTTCGTCTTCTGTGTCTATGAGGTGGCTTTGAAACTCTTTAGTCTAGTCACAAACGCCATACTGATGATGGTGAAAGTAGCCGGTTTGGTCCTCTTTAGAAGCCCATTCAGCATTGAAAATGTTGAAATACACGTGTAAGTTGTGATAGAGAAGTGCCACATCGGAGAATTGGTGTGGTGTTGAGCTGTTAATATATCCTAATTGGCCCACAACTCATTGGATTAAGCTTTTGAGTGAAGGTAAGTCCAACTGGATACGTTGACGGGCTCGGACTTGAGCTCTTTCATGGCGATTTCCCTAGGTGAAGGTATTGGGAGGTATCGGGCTTCTGTTGCGTGCTCCCTACAAATGGTATTAGAGCCAATGGTTGATTGGTGAATATTTCAAGAAAGAAATTTCACGATCGATTCTTGTTTCGAAAGAAATTTCACGATCGATGCTTGTTTCGAGTGAAAATTGCCATCACGGTTGGTTTGACGAGAAGAAACTATGGACAGTTGGTCTGGTGATGCGAGATGGTCTGACGCGAGATAAAAACTATCGGTTGAAGAGGGAGCATACCTAACACTGAGCTCACACGTGAGTAGGAGATTGTTGAAATACACGAGTCTAAAGTCCCATATCGGAGAATTGGTGTGGTGTTGAGCAGTTAATAAAAATCTTAGTTGGCCTATAATTCATTAGTTTAAGTTTTTGAGTGAAGGTGAATACAACTGGATACGTTGATGGGCTTGAACTTGGGCTCCTCCTTGGTGATCTCCCCGAGTGAAGCTATCGGGCTTCTGCTGCATGCTTCTTACAGAAAACACATCTTGTCTCCTCATGAACAAGTCCATTTCATTGAAGTGTGTTTAAGTTCCTTCAATGGGATCAACACTCCCATATCTTAAAGGATCACGCTGATAAACTTCGAAACATCCGATTCTCGGTTCAATGGATCGAGTTTACTGTCAGATTACATATTTGGAAGCTTGATGTTGCTTCGTAGCGAGACCAAGTGCGTATCGATGGGAGACAATTTTGCTGGATGTTCCCAAAATCAGGATCTTGTGAGATGTTATGATCTTTAGTGCCTAGGTGGTACATGGTTACATCGATCTAATTAGACATTGCTTTGCCCACCACCATGTTTAAACAACATCTTGCTTAAGTGTAGACTGAAGCTGGGGTTGCATATGAGCCTTTTCTTTGTGTGCAAGATATGCCGTCAAGCCATTGCATCGGCAGCATCCAAGTAAACAAGGTTTAGATTACATCCAATAATACAGTGAGCAGGAGAAGAAAGAGGAATCATAAACTCTCTCTCACCCGATTGACTCTAGAAGTAGGCAACTTCCATTTCGACGGATGCAGGATGTTAGGAGGCTTCTCCCCCTTCTGTTCTGTGGCATGTTATTCGCTCAAAGTCCCATGGAGGGCGCTCTCTGCTTGAAGGATACTGCTCCTTTGACCGACCACGATTTGGACTGGATTGTCGAGTTGAGATTATGACGGATGTCGGGATGTTTCATGCCTAAAACATTGCAGACACTGTCACATTGCAATGTCTGCAATGTCAAGTTAAGGTTCTGCCGGTTCGCCCGGTTACGGACATAGCAGACACACTATGCTACGGACATTACTAAAACAAGCGCAAAGCACAAGGACTGAACCATATTTAATTTGATATATCCTCAGTCTAATATAAGATATTCATGGCTTAAAGGGGATGAAAAGAAGGTACTATGACATACTCAGGTAATAAAGACGAGCATCCAGGAAACATATGATTGATTCTGTGCTTTTGCGAAAGGGTCTTCATTTATCAAGGTTTGAGCTTAAAACCCTGTGTTTTATATTTACTTTCTTCATAATCCTTGGAGGAGATGAAACATTGATTAGCATATTGTAGGCAAATATACCGTCATCTATCCGTACTTTTTGTGTTGGAGATATGTTGTAATTCGGATTGATAACAGATGAGCGATAAAAAGCAAAGGTAAATCCAAATGGGGAAGATGCCTTCTTGACAAGAAAGAAGGTTTATTTTACTCTATTAGAAAGCTCATTGTGCTCCGCAATAAGCATATGGAAACTAAGCAGCATATGTCTACGCAAGTGTCTCCGGTACTTGGATCGCCTTGTTGACATATCTTCAATCATGTATTAGAGATAAATGGATCAACTCCTTTGAAGCATCTTGACATTTTTAGAACTATCTTGATTGAGGTGTTACATGTATCTACACAATTATCAGTCTTCTCATCTTGTATTCCTTTCAGCAGGCTAAGAACAAATTTCCTGTTCAAGATATAGAAGAACCCAACATTATGATGAGACAGTAGCAAAAGGCAGCAACAAATTTGTTCTTAATCAACAGAGGTTCAACAGAGTGCAATAACTGATTATCACAAACTCAATGTCTATACCTCGGTCTTCAAAGCCAAGGAGGACATAGAAATCAAGTTCTTATGCTGTCGCTATTGTAAACCATCGAATTGGAACACTCAAACACCAATCGCTAACAACTAATGTTTTTTCTACCCAGTAAAGCTCAGGTGGTCAAGAATAAAAAATCTAATCTCCTAATTGGTAGCTGAACAATTCAATAACAGTGAAAACAAGAAGTACTGTAAATGGAACCACAGAAACGCGTGCATAGTAATCTAAATATGCGCCTGGGATCTCATTGCTAAGCAAAGATTTGCTGTTACCTGTACTAGAACAGAACTAAGAATGAAGAAGAAAACGAAAATGATTACCTGGCCTCCTGAAGCGTAATACAGACGAACGGCTTTAGGTGATATTCGTGCATGACCCCTGCCCGCGTGTTGCTATAATACACGGGGAGTGATCAGGGCACTTATACACAGCGCGTTCTTTCGATTTCAAGTAATGATTGACGAGTTCTACAATAGTGGCCTTCGACTTCGAACCCCGTTGGCAAAGACTCCACAGCTTCATTGAATGGTCTCCCATTTGATGTTCTCCGTGCCAGAAACACAGCAGAGATGAAGTTTCTGAACTTTGCTGAGAGTGCTTTGGTATCCACGCCTATGAGAGAATAGGTGGGAATTTATACTGCACTCACATTGAGTTGGAGTCATGCCTGTTTTCTCTAGCCTTTTGGTGGATTTCACCTGCTTTTTTTTTTCTTCCCTTCAACTTGATTCACAAGTCTCATAACTTCCTCCGGAAGTTGAGTTGATTGACACCTTATTGCTGGTCCTACCAGGATGCTTCTTACTCAATGTATTCACTTACTTTTTTGCGAGTTGGTGGGCTTGTTACTTGTATGATTGGATACAATTAACTTTTTGTGAGTCTCTCCTTTAAGCAAATTAACAGAATAACAATTATAATTCATGCAGTTCCTTTTACTCCTTAACAGTTAACACTCAAGCTGATTAGTCACCTACTCGGCGGACCGTGCTAACTTTTAAGAGCTTATTACCCGGTCCTTCATTGTGTACACCTCTGTCATATGTGATGCGGATTTTGGTAACTCGACATCCATCTTTGTATGAGAAGAGGATTTATAGGCTAGAGTTCGAATTATTACTCGTCCTTCAGCTACTCTGTAACAACCTGGCCAAAACCATTCAATTCCGAGTCCCGCCAGCCACGTCTCTGTTGAGTCTTTCATGCTTGCTTATCACAAAGACAATTCAGCTATAGACAAGGGGAAGTAAAGAGTAAAGAATGGGACTAGCGAAATAAGCAGAGGAAACAGAGTTTACTCATCGCTTGGCTTTGCTTGAGGGTGTTGACTCCAGACACTTCCAAGTGGGTCAGTTCATAAATCCAAAGAACAAGTAATATTCTTTGGCCTTGTTTAAGAAGGCAAACTCCTGCAAGCTCAAGACACACGACTGTTTCAACAGCTTCTTTGAAGTCCATTGCGCATATTAACGATGTTAATAGGACCCATTTGGTTGAAAATTTTGAAAGCTTATAAAACAAGCTTCCAGTTTCTTCACGAAGACAGACTCCAGAATTTCATGTATGTAAGCAGAAGGCCAAGATATGAAGTTGCTCGAGTGTTTCCTGAGTGAAGAAGATTCTAGGATCTTATGCTAATGCATACTTTGAGCAATGATATCAATGCATGTAAGTGTATACACTTACCCGCCATCCCTGTAGCGAACATTATTAACATTTTGATAAATGGATATTTCAAGTTTGCGAAGCTAGTCAACTTAGATAAAAGCGTTTTGTGTCAAGTCGAACCAGTACATATGACATAGTCCGACATGGATCACCACAAAATGCCCGAACCGTTGCAATGGAAGATCAATATCGCAATCAACTGAAGTTTCATACCAGCAATTTAGTCCAACTATTTCATTGGCACAAGTCCATCACAGAATATGCAGTACAATACTTATCAAAACATATACAAGCGCGGGCGCTCACTCACACTCAATACAATAGATGAAAACTCTGCCACATTGTTGAAGAGCTCGAGAGGAGTCTTCACTAATTTTCTAAAACAGTATCCTGCGAAGCCACATCGTTGAAGAGCTAATAGTGGTAATTCTTCACGTTCCAAGGCTCACCAGAAATCATTGCCCTATACGAAACGTAGTGATCATCAGTTTAATTAGGACTTAGTGAATGGTTAGTTTGTGTTTCACCAATTGATAAAACCATCAGTATGCACCACAAGCGACTATGTGCACCCTACCTGGCCATACCCGTATGCATAGTGCTGCGGATTGAAAGAGGTATTCGAGTTGTAGTCCGGTAGGTTGTTGTCGAGCGTCTGAAATGGATGGAGTGATTCCATAGTTGCTTGAAGCGATGACTGATGTTGACAAAAAATTTCGTGTTAAAAGATTCAAATTACTCCGAAATATTTGGCTAATGCTCAGTGCATTATCGAAGCCAGTGAGACTTGGGAAGCAAAACCCAGAAAAGAGATTTGGTCCCTTTAATTATTTACCTCCTCATCCGTGTCTTCTGTTGACCCATGTTGATAGGCAACTGGAGTGTTATCAGTCACACTTGGACCTACTCCAAAACTTGGGGAAGTATCCAAGCTTTCACTTGGTTTCCTCTTCAAGCGACAGAGGATATATGGAATCTGCAAATATTTAATTGTTTTAAATGTAACAAAGATTAGTCAGTATAATCTGAAGTTTCACTTTGAATACACTGCGGAATATAAGTGAAAAAGAAAACCCGTAAAAGTATGTCACAGGGTCAAAACAAAAAAAAAATGATAGTAATTATACATGGTACAGTATTATAATTGGCTCGCTCTTTTCTTTTTGTAATCGGGACACGATGATGAAGTTAGCCTAAGCCCATGGAGTACCGTATATTCCATGCATCGGTTAAGTATAGGCGTTTGGATTGATGCAGGTTGTCCTAACTCAAAGCAATCTTGCACACAATTGACAAGATTTGAACAGGTGACTCCAATCCTGAACGGAAAATTGACTAACGCCCCAACTTCACTAACGCCATTGATATTACGTTACAGTTCAAAAGAACGATCATCCTACTTTCTTAAGCCTGGTCGAATGCACTATTAATTCACTCCTCACAAATTTATTTTGCACGTGAAAAATACAAGAGAAATCTTAGATAGATCAAATGGTGGACCTGGAAGATTGAGGAGCATCCATTAAGGAGTTCAGGATTTAGGTGATATTCGTGCAAGACCCATCCGGTCTTGACACGGCCTTTGTTAAATACCAAAATCCTCTTGGTGCCAATTAAAACCTTGGTGTCTCGAGCTTTTATGTCATCACTTTGGCAAGTGATCTTCCATTGACCACTCCTTGTCTTCCTTTTGATGCGCTCACTATTCTGGGCTACGTAAGGAGAAGGGCAGAAGAAAAACCAGTCCCACCCATCCGATGGAACATTCAAAATCCCTGCACTCATACATTGCAAAAGACTTAGGAGAAGTTATCAAAACATTAAAAATGCAAATAGTGTATGAACAACTTTTCTATGTATAATTACTGTTACGATGTCACAAATAAATGTGACAGCACATGCATAACTTAAAGGGAAAAGAGTAGGCACATAAAACTCACCTGGATATAGTCTAGGTAAATCCCAAGGATCCCATGCATAGAAATCCTCGAGCTCAGGGATGATGCAGTGATTGGTGTATCCAAGTACCTTGTTCATCAGGTGATGATTGACAAGTTCTTCCTCGGTCGGAAAGAATCTAAATCCCACCAGAAATTGCTCCATATGGAGAGTAAGTATGGCTGATTAACTAAGACAAGTGATACAGTTTTGAACTTGAGTGTTTGAGTAACTCCGAGTCCGTGAATTAATTGGAGGTGACCATTTATAATAGGACTGAAAGTTGACTCGAGTCTTCCCTTGTGCCAGAAGCCTTCTTTTTCCCTAAGCCTTGTTTCAGAAGGGAAGCTTGATACTATTCTCTATCTTCTCCGTGGAGGATTCCACCTTGGAGAAGCTACTGGTGAAATTCTCATTCTATCCTCCCCGGGAAAGTGAGCCAAAACCAATTTGTTTGCTAATTCCCATAAAGCTGTATATTAGGAGAAATTGACCCAAAGCATGACAACTAAATGACCCTAGGCATCCCGAATCGAGTACCGAGACTATCTAGTCTAAAAGTCCTCGTTCAAGTGCGGCCCGTTTTCTGAAAAATATTGATTTTTCTTCATTAAAAATCGGGCATGGGTGGCTGCCGGATTAACTGTCCCAACCCATCCAAAGTGTGATTCAACTCTTGGATGGGGCCAGCTTGCTACTAGGCCCGTGATCAGGTCTAATCAAAACCGCGTGTATAGTGGTTGATCTAGTGGTGGCCCTCACTTCCTTCGAGCCAAAAAATTCTTATTTTCTGAGATAACTTTTTTACAAAAAGAGCTATATATGGTATTTAACTGAAATTCATTGTCTTGCCCCCTCTAATCTCAATTTCTTGGTCCACCATTGCACATATGAATAATCTTTAAACAAGGTGGTCCTCATAATGACTTGAACTTAGGACCATGTAACTTGACTTACCGAGTTACATCGAAGTAAACAATAACTTTTAGTTAAGTTTTCAGTATGTTCTACTACGTACTTTTCATACCTTTGTGAAAATAACATGTTTGATGAGCAAATTTTAGAGAATAACCAAGAACAATTGACTATACTTCTGTCCAATAATCTCCTCTCGTCGCCCACATCGGTCTCATAAGACCAATCAAAGCGAAGCAAAGTACAATTCTATCTAATTGTTCAAGCGACCGTTACAAGACTTTGCTAGAATGGTTTGCATGGAACTAGTCATCAATCTCACGAGCTAAACTCTCCGTGTGCTTATGTTTTCGAGTTGGGTGCATGATATTTTTAAAGGTTACGACAGAAGAACATCCAGATTTATTTGGAAAGCGACTTTCGTCTTTTACTTATTATTCTTTTAAAAGTTTGATGTCACTTATAATTTGACTTCTTACTTGATTCTTATTGGATCACCTGTTCCACTCATCTGGGTGTGGGCGTCTGCTTGATATGGTCTCTTTTTAGCTCAGTCAAAATTTTTGTGTTTGATTGTGTTGCGAACAGTCGAATTAAAAAGCTATTCAGTATAGTTTCCAATCAATATCTGCTTTCTTTTTGTCAATGGACTCTCTCTCTCTCTCTCTCTCTGCGCGTGCTCAGCCACGTGTACTTGCGAGCATGCACATCTCAGTCGTGTCTTCTAAATCCGATGTCGAATGTCCTTTTGTGGGATAAATATAGGATATTTTGAAAGCTTCTGTCTCAATGACAAACAAAAGACGTTCTCACTTCCACAATGATCGCATTATACAGTGTAGAAGAATCCTGGGATGCTGAAGAGGGCTCAGTTGCTGTTTTCTAATGAATGATTGATCAAAAGAAAGGAAATCAAACAAAGAATTTGATGAAAGACACGCTGGAGTCTACATGATGATCAGGTGCAGTTGGCCTTCAGGTAATCAGTGTAATTGATTACGTAGCGTAAAACAGGTCAGGATCTACCTGGATTGGTCCAATAGACACCCGTCTGATCAATCACAGGTGCTAGTAGTAAGCCAGGTGATGATGGTGCACCAGACACAGCGTTGCTATGCTATCTTCTTCAATTTCTAACGTACAGATCTTAAACGCCACTACGTCGTGATTTTAAGATCTCTCTAGCTAATTTGACGTATGAGTGCGGAGCAACAAAATCTTTTAAGAGGCAGAGGTCCTGGAAAATGTGCAATATATGAATTCCGAAAAGACTTAAACTGTCCAAACATTTGCACTTGCTATGTAGCACAAATTTGAGGTGCGGCTGTAAGAGTTTTTCTGGTATGGGTTAAATTAATTGAAATTGTAATTAAACATTTTACGGGATTGATCTAATAAGGTAAAATATAAAAATTCTTAAATAGTCTAATATAGGACTTGGTAGTGTTAGCCGAGTAAGGCCCGGCCCGTGATAAGAGGGTTTGACTTAAGACTCTATGGATAGTACTCAAGTCCCTTCTCTATCCTGATGCATAAATTATCTCGCATAAGGACCAAACGCTAATTGTGAAAGGCAATCTCATTAAGCCAGTGATACAGAAGGTAATAAAGGAGAATGACTTGCGTAGAGAATCGTTGCTATTCTGCATTAAGAATGATGGATTCCAAATCAGGTGTGCAAATCCCTATTACTCGATTATTTGTTCTAGATTCTAGCTATAGAGATCTTGGATGTCGTTTTCTCTGCCAACAGCGACAAAACATGAGCTGTCCGGATTGGTTTGATCGTGCACATACTTGTCCAACCAAAGAGATGACATTAGTCTCCTCCCCCAAAATTCACATCAAGAGAAAGGAAATGACACATACGGAAAACAAAGATAAAGTTGAATTCTGACACGCTTTCATGTGGCGTTCATCCTTGGCAACTCATGTTCAGAATTTACACTTACAATGCAAGCACTAAATCAAGATAACAGCACTCAAACTCTCAAGCCTCGGCAATGAATTTGATGATCAGTAGACATAGACAACGGCTACATTCATCATGGGAAGAAGGTGTTCCCTACATAACCATCAGCCATTGCTGTTGCGAGCCTGAAGCATGAAGCTTGAGCAGCCATGGCTACATCTCTCTTAGTTTTTTCCTTTTATTTGCTCTCCTAATAAATCGGCCTGGCGCGATCGGAGCTTCAAAAACAACTTCGAGTCATGCGCGCCTTATCTGGTAGCTCTTCTCACAGCTAAGCCGAATCAAACTCAACCTCTCCAAGCCGGAGGTTATCTACCCATGTTTAGAAAGAGAATGGGTGGTTATGTATTGAAGTGAAGGGAGGAAGCATTGGCATTTTCATTTTAGTTTTTTCTATTGATCATCGTTTTTCATGAATATATGTGTTTCTTCACACTTGAGTAGAAGTAGAAAGCTTCCACGTCTCTTAAAGCTTCCCCTATTCCCAAACTCATTCAACTCTCTTCATTGAGGCTGCACTTGCTTCGAACAGCCTCTCTAGGTTTCATCTATTGTTCCTTCTTCTTCTCGAGCTTCGATTTCATTGATTTCTTTTTCATATTTATGTTGCTCGTTGAAGAGATTCTAGGGTTTATAATTTGGGTTAATACCACCAAAAACCCTAAACTAGTACATGTTTGACAATTTTACCCCGAACTTTTTTTTTTACCACCAAAAACCCTAAACTGGTACACCTATGATAATTTTACTCCAAACTATTTTTTTACTACCAAAAAACCCAAACTAATACACATGTGATAATTTTACTCCAAACTGGTAAATCCGTGATAAATATACCCTAAACTATTTTTTTGACCACGAAAAACCTCAAACTGGTACACTTGTGATAATCTTACCCAGAACTAATAATTTTTTAATATTATTTTTTATTTTTTCGATTTTTTTTTCCTTCATCTTCAACCTCTAGTCGGTCGCCGGATCGGCGACCGGCCAGAGGCGGAAGCCGGTGAGGTCGGCCCTACTGGCCGCTGGCGAGGGCAGCCCTCGCCAAATCTGGCAAGGGTGGCCCTCGCCGGCGTCGGGCAGCCCTCGCTCGACTCAGGCGAGGGTCGCCCTCGCCAGATCCGGTGAGGGCAGCCCTCGCCCGACGTCGGCGAGAGCGGCCCTCGCCAACGGCCGGCAGGGCCGACCTCGCCGGCCTCCGCCTTTGGCCGGTCGCCAGTCCGGCGACCGGCCAAAGGTTGAAGATGAAAATAAAATAAAATAAAAAAATAAAAAAATTCAAAAAAATTCAAAAAAAATAAAAAATTAAAATTAAAATTTTAGTTCATGGTAAAATTGTCACATGTGTACCGTTTGGGATTTTTTGTGGTATGTTCAGGGTAAAATTGTCACCAGTATACCAGTTTGGGGTTTTTTGGAGTATGTTTGGGGTAAAATTGTCACATATGTACCGGTTTAGGGTTTTTTATGGTAAAAAAACAGTTCAGGGTAAAATTGTCACACGTGTACCAGTTTGGGATTTTTGGTGCTATTAACCCTTATAATTTCAAACATTGAGAGAGGGCTAGGGTTCCTAAATAAAATTTCTTGATTGGAGACCAGTAGGATCATTTACCATAAGGAAGGTTACTGTTCGAAATAGTATTTCGCCTCATATTGTTTGCATCATTTGATAAGTAAAAAGTGTTGTTTAGCAAGAATGTATAGAATATTCTTTTCATTAGACTTTTTAGATGTGGAGGCATACTATTGATCCTAGATTGGGTTTAGTACTTGGCGAATTGTTGCCCGGTTCTTCCCAACAAAGTAGTATCAAAGCTAGCGTTGAGATTCTAGTGTTAAATGGAGGAAAGTAGTGGCACCATGTTTAAGTTAAATGCCTCGAATCCCTCTATTTGGAAGCCTCAGATGGAAGACAGATTATATTGTAAAGATTTGTATGATCCCATTGATGGTGATGAGGTTAAACGAGATGAGGAAGATAATATGAGCGAATGAATCGGAAAACGATTAGATTTATTCGATAATGGATTGATGATGGTGTGTTTTATCATGTGTCTCAAGAAACGAAAGCGAATACTTTGCGGAAGAAATTGCAAGATCTCTATGAGAGGAGAACACCACAAAATAAAGCTTTTCTAGTTAAAAGACTTGTGAATTTGAGATACAAGAAGGAAAGTAACATGTTGGAACACTTGAGTGAATTTTAAGATGTTGTAAATCAATTGAAAAATCTTGAGATTGATCTTGGTGATGAATTGTAATCGTGTCTATTGCTTGTTACTCTTCATGATAGTTGGGACACCCTAATTATGGCATTAAACAAT